GTCCACTCACACACGGCTCATATAGACAAAGAAGAAGAGGCTCACGCGTTCCAAATTGAAAGCATAAACTGCCTATACACGAACGCCGCGAGCTTGCCAAACAAAATGGATGAGCTACGTGAACTTAGCAACGCTAATGATGCCCATCTGATAGGAATATCCGAAACTTGGATAACGTCTCAGTTTACGGACCAAGAGTTAGCAATAACTGGGATGTCTTTATTTCGCAACGACAGAAAAACAGGAATGGGGGGTGGGGTAGCAATATACGCACGGTCATGCCTGGATGCGCACCAACTTCACAACCAAGAGTTTCACAGTCTTGACGAGTCAGTATGGTGCTCAGTAAGATTATCTACCACCTCGAGGTGCCTAGTTGGGGTCGTTTACAGGAAGCCCACTGCCGACATCGAATATGACAAACGTCTGCTGGAAGGATTAACTCGCTCTACGCGTCTCGGATTCTCTCATATCCTGATTCTAGGGGATTTCAATCTCCCTAGAATCAACTTCGTGGAACATACATACATTGGTGGTGCCAACTCTACTGAAGCTCTGTTCTTCAACCTTATCGGCGACCTGGGATTATTTGAAAATGTGAAGTCGGCAACCCGTTGGAGAAACAGTCAGACGCCGTCACGCTTAGACTGGGTATTCACAAACGAAGAATTCCTAGTTGACGACCTCTCAATCCTGGCTCCCCTGGGCAAAAGTGATCACGCCGTCTTATCATTCAGCTTTGTCAGCAAGACGGAGCTACGATATCCTACTAGCAACAAGCGCTGGAACTTCAAGCGGTTGAATGTGTTAGCTTTACAGGACTATCTTCAACAGGTGGATTGGGATGTTCGCCCTGAAATTGAAGTGGATGCTCATTGGGATTTTTTACTGCACACGATCTTATGTGCTACTGAGCATTCAGTTCCTAAAATGGTCCCAAAAAGCTACAAGCAACCTGCAATCATCAAGAACCGCACTCGTCGTTTGCTAAGCCGCAAAAGGCACTGTTGGGCTGAATATAAACGAACTGATAACAACGGCGCGTACAGGCAATACAAACATATAAGGAACACATGCACAAAGGCAATAAGAGAAGACAGGCTTCAGTTCCAGACCAAGCTTATCGATAGATTCGTCTCCAATCCGAAAAGCTTGTTCAGTTATGCAGCTTCTCTTCGACAAGGCAAAACTGGAGTTTCCCAACTGCTTGGCCCTAATGGCCCGACCAACAACGACAGTGATGCCGCTAACCTTTTGGCTGAACATTACTCCCGGACATTCCAGCTGACCCACATCAACCATACTGACGAAAGCTTCACCTGCACCTGTTCAGGACTTTCCGAAGTGGACCTGAGTGCTGACTTGGTGCTCCGTAAACTGCAGAACCTAAAAAAGACACTTCTCCTGGTCCGGACATGGTTCATTCCGCTGTATTGAGGGAAGCAGCTTTAATCCTGGCGACACCACTTAGCGTGATGTTTGCACACTCGCTAAGCAGAGGCAAACTACCGGAAATATGGAAGCTGGCCAACATCACACCAATTTTCAATGGAGGTCGACGCAGTGAACCCTCAAGCTACCGACCAGTGGCCCTTCTCTCCATACCTTCAAAAATTATGGAATCCCTAGTATTCGACGGCATACTAGAACACTTATCATCCTCAAAGTTCTTCTCGCCTCAACAGCATGGTTTCAGAAAAGGTCATTCTTGTATGACCAACCTGCTGACTGCGGTGGATAGATGGACAACCATCCTTGATCGCAAGGGGAAGGTTGACGTCATTTACCTGGACTTCTCAAAAGCTTTTGATAGGGTCAACCATACATGTCTTATCAAGAAGCTTGGACGATTGGGTATAAAACCCCCTTTAATTGACTGGATCACTTCATACCTAGAAAACCGACATTTTAAGGTCAGGGTTAACTTCACTCTCTCTCAGGCTATGGAATGTCCTAGTGGGGTCCCCCAGGGTTCAATACTAGGACCTCTTCTCTTCTTGATTTATATTAACGATCTTCCTCAACAAGTCTCATCTGATTTATTGCTTTTTGCTGATGATGTGAAACTTTGGAGAGAGATACGTAATCACAATGATATACTAGTTCTGCAGGAGGATCTGACCCGACTTCAAAGTTGGGCAGACGACAACGGACTTACCTTCAACACTTCAAAGTGCAAGGTAGTCCATCTGAGACATGTTGCAGACTATAGTTATAACTTAGGTAACTCCCCTCTAGAAGTTTCCCAAGTCGAAAAAGATTGGTGCCGTACGACCTGAAATCGTATGCGAACTGTGACAAAAACGCCTCTCAAGCAAACCTTGCACTGGTAACATTGAAGCGCATTTTTGGCCAGTTTGACGGTAGAACCTTCCACATAATCTTCAACAGTTTTATTCGTCCCCACTTAGAGTACGGAAACATAGTATTTCCTCCCTCCCTCCAAAAGTATAAGGTCACTCTGGAACGTATACAACGTCGAGCCACGAAATCAGTTCGGGGTCTCAAATTCAAACCTTATGAAGAGCGCCTCAAATCACTTAACCTTTACCCGTTAGAGTACAGGCGTCTTAGAGGTGATCTTCTTATGACTTATAGTATCCTTAATACTTCTGGTCATCCCCTTAAACAACTTCTTAAGCTTAGTCATAACACTAACCTCAGAGGTAACACCCAGAAAGTGGAGACCCTACATAGCAGAACAGACTGCAGACACAACTTCTACTCCGTTAGAGTTGTCAAGTGCTGGAATTCGCTGCCGACTGAGCTAGTCCAAGCGACCTCCCAGGAGTCCTTTAAGAGAAAACTTGACTTATTCTTAAGGACTAAGGATAACATATTATTATGATTTACCAAATTCTTTTTTTTCCCTCTATTATCGTTCATATACCTAGGTTCTTGCCTGGAGGTATTGGTGATCCACTGCTACCAAACACGGAAGCCCGTTAAGCGAAAGCTTCTTCTATTCCGTCCTCAACCATTTGAACCATTTGAACCTTGCCTTTTGAAGAGTTACGGTGGCAGTTAAACCTGGCGGTACTGCTTGGTTTTTTTTTGTGAGATACCAACTGATAACATACACTCCATTAGTAAAAGTATGATTGATACATGTCTGTAATAAATCTTTACCGGTTTAAGCGATGCCAAACGTATTAGACATGTGACATCGTACCTTAATTTTTACGAAATTCCAAACATCCATGTGATCTATTTGCACACTACAGTGTGACTAACTATAGTTAATCATTAGGCAAGAATTGGGTTAGAACCTACTTTTATTTAGTTGTTAAGATTCCGATAATTTATGTGAATGACGGGACTGGAAGACGCAGTGAAGTTTCGACTTTTGAAATTAGAATGGAAAAGATAGGGGCATGCTTTCTCCTATTCTACTTTCAAGTAGAATCGATGCACATATAAACATATGGCATGGTTTGTATATCTGTAGAACTAACCGGGCAATTATCAATAGTTAAACCACTATATTTCTCAGTAGGCTGGCAAACAGGACATATTCCTGTTTGGTGAAGACGCTGACAAAATGCAGAGTCTTCTGTTAGAACTGAGTAATCATGCCAGGATGTTTTGGACGTGTTTCTCTCCCTATATATGTATATTGTTACTCCAGGACTAGCCTACGTCAACACCTGAACTAAGGATAGTGAGCGAAGTAGTCGAACGCGTCGACAACTTCACTTATCTTGGAAGTCTGATCAGCCCTGATGGGTTGGTGTCTGATGAAATCTCAGCAGGGATTGAAATAACTCGTTTGGCTTTTGCCAACTTACGTCACCTATGGCGAAGACGAGATATCCGTCTATCAATTAAGGGACGAGTATACTGCGCAGCAGTCTGTTCTGTTCTACTTTACGGCTGTGAAACGTGGCCATTAAGAGTAGAAGATACTCGTAAGTTACTAATATCTAACCACAGATCTCTTAAAAATATTGCTCGCATCTACTGGGATCACCAAGAAGTAATAGTGAGGTTAGACACAGGGTATTAGGGAATGATGGTAAATCAGTTGATGAGGTCATGAATCTTCATCGACTGAGATGGTTAGGCCACATGTTACGTATGCTTGAACACCGATTACCACAACGCTCTATGCTGATTAGTGTAGAGGATGGTTGGAAGAGAGTTAGGGGCGGCCAAACCAAAACGTGGCATCAGTGCTTGAAGTCACTAACTTCTAGTCTGAGCCATGTTGGTAGATGCAGACTACCTATCAATGGTTGGAGACTGTGTGTGACATGCCTCTGAAACGATCACAATGGCGTAGGTTTATACACTTTATCTTCCCTTAAACCTTGAGATTAAAATTGCTTCATGACTTCCTATACTACATCCTTATATACAACCTATCTTTTATATAATACCACCACCTAATTAACTATTTATATGAATCCGGTGTTCATCTTGTTGTGCTAACGAGGTATGGCAACTTGGACCGATGCATAAATGTGCCTGGTCCTGCGTTTTAGCTGACTGACTGAGGCTGGCAAAGCAGTCTGCTCTAGCCGACATTCTAATCCTAACTCAAGTTTAACATACGTAACGAATTGTCAAATAAACATTTATGTGAAGCAAGTGTACTTTTGATGAGGTGGAGTATCATGCTAGACGTAAGGCCAACTTCAAAATCCGTGTTTGTTTTCTGTTTCGTAACCGGTTTTCTGTTTACAGGTTTTCTCGAACACATGGAGTTATTATACCATGAGGACATCCCTATCGATCTAATTACGGAACAACTTGTTGGATGTACATGTGAGAATATCTGCTGCCTAGAAGACAATTGTACTTGCTTATCGAAATCTGGAATGTTTTATGATATGAATGGTTTGCTGACTAATTTTGTGGATCCCGTTTTTGAATGCAACAGTGAATGTGTTTGTAGTCAATCGTGCACTAATCGAGTCGTCCAAAGATATTTAAGCAATGCGGAGTCTACATTTGAGTCTGAGTACCATACAAAAACCTGTGTGACTGATCATCCGGTTATGGGTAGAGGTTTAAAAGCCGCTTGCAAAATCCAACGTGGAGAACTTGTTTGTGTCTATTTGGGTGAAGTAATTCCATATAAAGAGGCTTGCCTAAGAGAAGCCTTTCAACTTTCATGTTATGGTCGCAATTTTATCATGGTAATGCGTGAGTATAGCGACCATCGTCTTATATCAGAGACGTGTGTTGACGGGAATTCTGAATCGTGGGGTTCAGTAAAGTCGAAAGCACGCCTAATTAACCATTCTTGTACACCTAACCTAACAGTAGTTCCTGTTCGAGTTGATAGTTTCATTCCCTATTTAGCATTATTTGCTAACAAAGTTATCTTTGAGGGTACACAACTTTCATACGATTATGCTCAGTCTGTGCCCAGCGACAAAATACGATTATCCAACACACTTTGCTTATGCAACTCGGACTCATGTCGCGTATACATGCCTGGAGTATAAGTATAGTTCATTTAAAAGAAATCAAAGTTTCTCAAGTTAGTTGAAAAGCATGCAGTTGTCAAAAATATCTTGGTGGTTATTGAACAGAATTTGAGCTAATTGGCTGATATTTGTTCATCAAGTCACTGTTCTCTGGGTACGTTATTTGTACATCTTTTGTACGGCTATAAGTGTGTATTTGTTAATTTTTCATATCTTAAATCAACTGAGTACCATCAGTGCGAACTTAATGTCTACCTAATTTTTTTATCAATATAACCCGTTTACCAAATTTAGGGATTTTAATCCGGTTTCAAGCCACTTTCTATGTGACGGTTAGTGGTACCAATGAGTCGTCCAAACCAAAGTGTAGCGGTATTCAAAACCGGAAGAAGCTGATCGGAAGCTACCACGCGGTGTTTAGGTTTTCAGAAGAAATGTTCTTGAAGTAATGTGTGTACATTGCTGATAAGTTTGAAGGTAGGAGATTCAATTTAAATTTGATAGATTGCTACCAAACAATGGTAGCAATCTGCATCCTGGTGATACATGGTATCTTGTTAAAAGACAGCTACTAGCGCGGCAAGTCTTGGTGGTAAGGAAGCCAAAATAGTCCGTAATTTAATTTACTCGCCAACTGTTTGGGCTTTCTCATGATCAACTATCAGGTCGCGCTTAGTGAAACTATTGTCATTACTACTATTATTAAACAACAATTCATCGCAGTAATTGGCAGAACATTCGGTGACAACATGATCAGTCTATTACTGTACTTCCGTTGTATACAGTTTGGACATTTTATATAAAACACTGTAATGTATTTTGCTAGCTGAATAGTGACAGCTTGATAAAAATTTACTCTCATCTTACAACTTAAGTTGTTTGAGTTAGAGTGAGTCCACAAGGTAGCCACAAACGTACATTTAATGGTTGTTAATACTCATATCAACAATGAACTATTTGTGTAAAACAATATTCTGCTGTAGATTTGAAATTCGGTTGTTCACCGTCATGCATAAAAATTCCCATCACTGACTACATCACATTTCAATGCTTCTCGTCAGCCACATATGGTATTCTGTAGGACGTTTTTATTTTTAATATTATTCTCGATTTAAATTTACCAAAGGGTCAGAATGTATAGATTGTCAGTGTGTTGAATAGTGCAATATAATGAGTCTTAATCAATTCAACCTGACTGTAGCTACTACCTTGACATGGTGGTCGGACTTGTTTATCGTGGTGACCGAACCAAGCGGTGTTGAGTGTAACGCTTGTTGCTCTAAGTTTTAACATGACAAACAGTTCGGTTTATGAACAACATCACTATAAGCAGAAAATAAAGTTCCAAAGGCGAACTCTTACCGCTGTGTATACTGAGGTTCGACAGTATCAAGGTATTTCTCTCAAACAAACCGCGATAGTACTTTTTGACAACTGATAGAAGGGGTCAAAAGTGATCAACCTTAAAAAATCTACGTCTCATCTTGCCCATGGCTTTCAGCTGCTAGTGGTAAGACCTTTAGGGTACAAGGCTAGTGCATCAAGAACTCGGTAGAGAGCTATGTGGAGTTGGCCTCCAGCAACTGTATCTTGAACGCCGCGGCCATGCTATCACGTCATGACCACTCCTTATCTAGTTCCTTTTTCAGGACCCTTAAGAAATTCCGCTAAAATTTTTGTATTGGTCTTCCGATTTAACGTTTTAATTAATTCCTTCAGTTTTACGATCATAATATTGTATCAGCTATTTTGTTTTGTTTTTTCCTATTTAAGATTGTACTAATTCGCCTTGATCATCATACTTGCGGAATGATACTTTTGTTATCCAATACTACCTGTTCACAAAATCATGACATTAATATGGATGGATTATGTGTTTTTCTTGTCAGGGTAGGATAAAACTCGATATAATACTGTAATTCAGCGTGGTATTTATGTGGTATTTGTACAGAATCACATTATTTTGTGCTAATGTAGTCTGATGTTCTTTCAATATGATACTTAGTGTTTAGTTTACTGTAACATTTGCAAAATTTGACAGACTGCATAATTCCACTTTTTATCCCTACTATTTTAGTATGATTTTTATTGCCGATTTGTCAAATGTCAGTAAGATATGTTGATAAATGTATATATTTGGTTAATAAGGGATTCTTTTGAACAACATACTTCTTGTTGTCAGTCTTTATCTTCGTCGTATTGTTCACAAATCTTAGTGTTTCTTTTTGTCTCAAGTACCAGCTATCTGCGTTTATATCAACTAGCGACGATGTTTGGATTTAAACCTATAAGGGGAAAACCCCAACGGATTATTAACAGTCCTTGGAAAAACGTTTCAATAGTTTGTGGCTCTTGGTGATAAATATGTGCTTATTTTTGCTTGGTCTAAGTTATTTTCATCCAATCCAACGAACATGATAGTTACTTGTCTTAAATTAATAAAAAGTGAATATAATTAGATTAGGTAGCTAGGTTAGCATCAAAAACCTGGAGTCTTTAATTAGACTGACAATTTCAAATGTTCGTTGTTATACTTACACTACCAATAAAAAAAGTAAATTTGTTGCTCACTACTGTGTTTAGAAATGTGATAGTTGAAAAAAACAGTTCACACTGAATAGTAAACTCTTAAGTTAATAGCAATGTCTGTTTATTTTCACTACATGCGGTGTTCATTCACTAACAAATTGAACTATGACTTGATCTTTAGCCTGTCAATTTGTTTCTACTTAGATATCATGTAAAGTTAGCGTATTCAAAAATTCAATTTCCTGGTCACTGAGTATAGACTAATGTCATGTTTGTTTGATCTTTTAGTGATGATTAAATCCTATTGATCAGGTTCAAAACATAATATAAGGACTTGTTTACAATTATACTCATCTGATGAATCGGGATGAAAAATCAACACAAGCCCTTATGTGGACTGATCCAAAGAACACTTATGGCGCCCTTGGATGTGTCATTGTAGTCTTATCTCCTATATCGTATGTATTGTTCCAGCTACATTTCTTATCTGAATTTTGAGGACAACCGTTGCACAACAGGGTTAACCGAAGTATTATTTGATAAACTAAATGTGAGATGTATATCATCTTTATGAGTTGGAGCGGGAATAAAAGTTACCAAGTGGTAACCACTTTGGTTACAAGTTGCACTGTGACCACTAGTCTCACTGACTCGATGTATTATCAGCGGTCAGTCAACTGTAAAGTTATCAGTCCTACAGGACTTCCTACAGGAAGTCGATTAGCTGAACAATAAATTTGACTGTTGAGCTAAGTGATGCATATTCAAACTATACAGTAAGTATCAGTCCCCTCAAGATGTCAGGTATGCCCTGATGATGAAGGTTAACCAATACGAGGTCTAAGTTCAAGATTTATCGCCAACTACCTTTAACGATGACTCCGCCTGTAGCTTTTCTAGGGTTACTGCTGGTCCCAAGCCTGAGTAAAGGAGGAGAGTTGGACATGGGGTCAGCAACCCCATCCCGTAAAAAACTAACCAGAATAAGTAACCTTTGGCGATATGGCACTCAGTTGTATACATATAAGGAGAAGAATATGACTGAGTTACTAATTTTATAATTGATTGTAGTCAATCTGAATCACATGAGATAGAATGTTACGTTTTTATTCATAAAACAAGTTGCAAACATTGTAAGTGATATTTATAACTAAATAAGATGTAAATATAGCCGACCTGATTATGAAAAAAATCAACACAAAATGCATATATCAAAGTACACGACATGAGTTGTTGACAAGGAACGACAACAATTGCTTAATGTAGACTATAAAATAGAAAAATTCTTCGTAATTCAGATTATTATGGAAAAAATTGATCATGATGCTTGCAAGAAAATATGTCCTAGTGTATGTTGAGTAGAAAAGAAAATCAAATATTTTGTTCAGATAAAATGAATTTCTGGATATTTTCTTCTGTCATGTATATTTAATCTGTGAGCGATAGAGTTCTGAGTTGATTTTTCTGAAAAAAAATAATTTTCATCAGGGAAATGTGTACAGTTTTGCGAATGTTTAAACTATGGTTTCATTGCTAAACTGGAGTCACACATAGAAAGTTTTAATTTGTTATGTTTTCACAACAATCCTGTCAACATTCCTCTGTTACGCTTATTCAGTCTGCTCTCTCTGAGCTTTCATTATTGAGTGACTGTCTCCAACTATCATTGTTTTTGGAGAATTGGTCGTACCCAGTAGCGTAACCTCATGCAAGTAATACCGGGGTTCGGGCATGAAAGAGTTGGAAGTGTGTGCTTGATTTCATCCATCATATGTTTGACATTGGGACTGGGTCAGAAAGGCTGATTGGTGGTTAGTTTATAGCATTGTACCATGGGATAAAGGATAATTATGTTTGTTAAAATTTTTTCAGCTGCTCACAGTTCAATATCGTGGGACCTAGTTGCTTAGAACGTTCCTAGACACGGCTTTAAGTAGAAGCTAATGGTGATCCTGTTATGGCTTCTTGTTAGTAACAGAATATCTCTTAACAGGATAAAATCCACCATGATTCTATATTTACTAAAACGGTATGATTCGATAGTATTATTCCAATTTTCTTTATGTCTTTTGGATGTCTAGCTCTCTCTGCCCTCAATATTGTCACTTCATTTTATGTACTATATTTCCTAGTGCTCTATTGTACCACGCTTTTTCCCTTAATGTCAACTATGATACTAAATTTCAAAATAATAAAGGAGTGGGATTGTAAAAATCATAACATTGCGGGACTGAAATGATGAATAATAAGTAAACTTGTGGGTACTGAATCTGACAAGTCGGTAACTACCTACTCACATGAATATGATTGATCAGTGATTCCATATTTTGACTTGTTTACACAAATATGTGCAAAAATCCAACTCCTAATACCACTGGCAATCGAGTTATGTAGTTAATGATTCATCGCAAGTACAAATTCGATAATTTTATTATTTTAAAAAAAATTAAGAATTTACTGTTAAGATTTTCGTTTCCACAGTGGTAATCGTGATCTGATTATGTCTATTCTGATGTGGTTCAGCAGTTAAGAAGTCAAAGTCATAAATATGGTATCACGTTCTCTGAACCCATTACCATTATTTATTTTCAATACGGTACGCTGCCCTACTATTCTTGCACAGTTAGTTTTAATCATTTTCTTGGGTCATTTTGACATACAAATCTACTGAGTTCCACAATTTCGTTGCAGTTTCACCTTCCTTCCTTTCTGGAAATAACGTTCTCGTCGACTGAATTTCCGGGGATTGATCTCCTTCCAGGAGGTCCACATATTGACTTAGAATACGCAGATGACATAGTCCTGTTTGGTGAAGACGCTGATAAAATGCAAAGTCTTTTGATAGCATTGAGTAACACTACGAGGATGTTTGGAATGCGTTTCTCCCCCTCTATATGTAAATTGCTACTCCAGGACTGGCCTGTGTCAACACCTGACCTAAAGATAGGAAGTGAAGTAGTCGGACGCGTCGACAACCCCATTTATCTTGTAAGTCTGATCAGCCCTAATGGGTTGGTGTCTGACGAAATCTCAGCAGGGATTGAAAAAGCTCGTTTGGCTTTTGCCTATGGCGAAGGTGAAATATCCATCTACCAATCAAGGGAGAAGTATACTGCACAGCAGTTCCCTCTGTTCTACTTTACGGCTGCGAAACGTGGCCATAAGTAGTAGAAGACACTCGTAAGTTACTAGTATCTGACCACAGATCTCTTAGAAATATTGCTCGCATCTACTGGGATCACCGGGTAAGTAATAATGAGGTTAGACGCAAGGTATTAGGAAATGATGGTAAATCAGTTGATGAGGTCATGAATCTTCATCGACTGAGATGGTTAGGCCACATGTTACGTATGCTTGAACACCGATTACCACGACGTGCTATGCTGATTAGTGTAGAGGATGGTTGGAAGAGAGTTAGGGGCGGCCAAACCAAAACGTGGCATCAGTGCTTGAAGTCACTAACTTCTAGTCTGAGCCATGTTGGTAGATGCAAACTACTTGGTTGGGGTTCGCGTGACTATCGTAACCGATGGTTGGAGACTCGGGATGACATGCCTCAGAATTGACCACAATGGCATAGATGTATACACTCTTTGTCTTCCCTTAAACCGTGAGATTAAAATTACTTTATACCTTTCTTTCTATGGAATAATTCTTTCTTCCCGTATTATATCTTTATATATAATCTTTCCTTTATATATTGCTACTATTGAAGTAACTGCTTCTATGAATTTAGTGTTCATCTTGTGCTAATGAAGTATGACAACTTGGACCGATGCATATATGTTACTGGTCGTTCGTTGTAGATGACTGACTGAATCTCCAAGTTAAGTTTTTGTATCGAACTGTTGAAAATAGTGCATCTAAGTGTCATTTTATTTTTACTGAATCAGTGCAACGAAGTTTTAAGTCTACTTTAGTAAATTAGATTATTATTTTTTGCGTAGTTCGTAGAATTAAAAAGTGGAGTTTATCTACATAAATCGTTGATACGAATAAGTTCATGATATTTTGTAGAAATGAAATCACTTCCTAGGTTGTAGTCTTACCATGAGCTACGGATGTTCTCATTATTTAGTAATTCTTACGGATATTTACATGTACTATTGTGGCGTGGATTACTGATATCCACATAAGTAGTATATGGTGATGCTCGGGCATTGAATGTATTTCAGTGGAAGATCGATAAGGAGAGAACGGGAACGGCACGCAGTTGGTAAGAAAATGCATGAACTATTATAACCGTAGACTATGGACGGGTATTTGCAGAAGATACAATCAAATTGAGACAATTGATTGTTATTTTGCAAATTACCTGTTCACTATATGGTTCTCATATTTTAATGAGATATTCTGTAATGTTGTGCCAAAATATATTTGATTGTTCCCAGTCCTGTTCATTACACTATAATCTTTTGGTAATTCAGGGGGAACACAGACATCCTGCCTGTAGACTCGGTCTAGATGACTTGACAGTGGTTAAAGAAACAAGCTTTATCGGCCTGTAGTTTATTTTACTTAAATCCCGAAACATCCGTTTGTAGCTGATTTGTATTTTTCTTTTATGATGGTAGTCGATGTCCTTACAAGTCCGAATACTGTATTTGGTTTGTACTTATTATGTTGAAATGGAACAGATCTAAAACTCATCCTATTTGTTTGATTTAAATGGTTTCATATTACTCACGTAGGCTAGTTAGTTCAGCTGACCAAATTAAAATTATCTAAACATAAACTATTACACTCATTTTAGTTTAAAATCATTCATTAACTCAGAGAACTGGCTGGATGTCAAGAAATCAATTTGAGAAATATACTTCAACCATTTTAATTCCAAGAAAATTCCTCAGTTTTCCAGTGGGGTTTTTTACACATATATATAGGGAATGGTCAAAAAAGCTATTTCAATAATATATTACCTTCTACCCCCTTCCCCCCAAAAAAACGGAGTATAACTTACCATGAAGATTGGAATGTTATTAGCTTTAGAAGCCATTTTCATTCTTTTTCGAAACCAACATTTGGATATTCAGGCGGTGTTATGGCTTCTGATGTCTGGTTTACTTTTGGCGGTATGTTAGGACGTTGTTTAATTTTAGGATCATTTACGTAACCACCATTCAGTCGATAATATGAAAATAAGATGAATGTATCAATGCCATAGAACACGAAGCTGACTGCAAATAAAATCTATGGGTTGAAAACGGTGTTGGCAGTGAATGGATTCATTAAAGAAATGTAAATGTACGATTTATATATTTGTAATAAATCAGAAGCAACTTTAAAATTTCACCAAATACAAATATATTTTAAACTAGTTAGATTACTTCAGTACACAATTTTCACTGGATAGACGTGTAATATGGAGTCATGTTAATATATAATCATAAACAGTTCCACATCGTCGGTATTATATAAGGATTGTACTCTATTTCTCTTTGAGAGAAACTGAAAGGTATTAACTATTGCGTTTTATTTGAGTGAGTTATAGTCTAACTGGGATATGTGAACGCTATTTAGTCGTGTATCGTACTATTATGAAAACCTGAACCAAGATAAAACACTCAATAGTCGTTAGTTACACAGAGATACTCTAGATGAAGTAAACAATAAGGTTGACCTTCAAGACTGGATATTGATTATTTCAAAGTTTAATTCCTTTAGGAATTGTGAACAGTGTGCGAAAATGCTTTACTGAAAAGATTTTAATACTAGGTTATGTAACGTAAATGATAACGATTAAGAGTTGCGTAACATCTGCATGATATATACAAACACAGGAGTGTAGAAATTAATATGGTAAGATGTGGCTATTATGTGGATGGTGTAGGAAAATTAAAATAGTCTCTCGATAATTAAAAGCATTAGGAGAATTAAATAATATTAGGATCAATTATAGGAATTAATTAAAGGGGACATTTTTAATTGCAATATCAATGGGATGAATAATAGTTTAGTGCCTTCACAAACCCAAAGTTGACATTCTACTTTTATACACAAGATTAAGGCTTTATAATATGGTTATTGAGAACACCTATTGTTTTAAGTAGTTAATTGAAAAGAAATCTTAAAACATTTGGACAGATTTTATGAACAACCTTAAAATCAAAACATGGGCTTCTTGAATCATTAGAGTTAATTAACTGTGTCAAAGTTTGATGTCTTAACCACTACACTTGTAGAACCACGAGGTAATATGTTCTTGCATACGTGCTTTAAGTGGGCGCTGGTCAAAGTATGTACATCTTGTCCCATACGAACACAATTAAGTAGTTTTATTATTCACATTATATAATCTAGTATTAAAATCTTTCTATTAAATCGTTGTTTTTATTCGCATAATTAAGCCCTAACATTTGATATATGTATATTTGAGCGGAATGGTATGAATTCACCGTATTTTATTTTTTCCTCTTCAGCTGCTTACACAGCTTGTAATAATTCAAAACCGTGATGAACAAATGCTTATTGAACTGAGTAACCATTTGTCCATAGTCCATCAAACTTTTGTCACTAACAATGTTTTCGTATGTTCTTTCATATAAGATATATATTTAGAGTAAATTATTTGGTTTATCAGATTTATTTACATCTTTGCTATACTATACTGAAGTGTGATGATAGCGACTTTCAACAAAATTATTCTTTGTTAGTAATTTAAACCGATTTTGAAATATCACAGGTTGTGTAAACAGCTGAAGAGGATAAAACAAAATACGATGAATTCATACTATTCCTCTCAAGGTTTCTTTTCTTATTCCCTTCAATAAAGTAATGCTAATCAGGTAGCTGTCTTACATAATAATACTGTAGTTTCGCGTAATTATGAAAATAGTGTTGAATGCTCAATTAAATGATTAGGTGAAGAAGGGTATAGTAACTGCAACAGGAAAAGGGGTTAGTTGTATAAAATAAAAACATATAATTGTACATTGTAAGCAAAGATGGATAGTGGCTAGCAGTGGAATCCAGGACGGGCGTTTTGTCCTATTTGGGACTCGTCAGCTTGTGAATTAAGGCTAGATCGAGGTAATACACACAGTATACACATATGCCAATCAGAGACTAACCGGTTGTAGTCCTAAGTATCAATGGGAAGATTCAAACAACCAATACTAAATGAATGTAATTGTAAAGTTATAAGATTGCATAAAGTTTAATAAGATAATGGAAAAAAAAGTTTTCAAAAGATGTCAATTTTATAATAGTTTCATAAAAATCAACAGATGAATATTGGAGTTACGTAAGAACTTAAAACCTGAAAGATAAAAGAATGAGATAAATCAAAATTCATTGATAACCCACATCTATATTCGCGGTCAAGGTAAAAACCCAGATTGAATGAACTTCTTACGAGTGCTAAGGTTAGGTTTATTAATGTGAATCCCAGTAGTTTCAGTGTTATACAGTGATTAAACCCCTAAACCATACAATAAAATTTGATGCAGTGTGGTGGATAATTTTAAAAACGTTAGTCAAGTCAATTTGATCTCTTGTACCCATCAACAAATAAACAAAAATAGAACTCTTATTCAACGCTAACTGTCTGTTGCTTGACCATACTGGATTGTGTTCAGCGATACTATGACAGACTTATCAAAGTATACACCTCATGAAAATGGATCCACAAAAAATATGATTTGATAAATGCACATGAACTTGAAAAATTCACCTTGTCTGTCTTTGTTAATGGTTTTTAGTATCGTATAATTGTAAAAAATCATATTTAGTTTGACTTCAGCAACAGCTTTTCTTGATCATTATGTCAGTATTTCAATGACAGCCCGATCTATGAACTGTAAATTTAAGATAAGTACCTTCTGAACGATCGTTATAATTTTTAACTAGATCAAGTGTTTAACGATAAATTTAGTAAATGTAAACATATTAGTGTAGGCCTGTTGTGTCCCGATAACAATAGTGAATGGTAATTTTGGGATCTATTAATGGATCAATACTATGCATATATTTTTTATCGTGTAATTGTTAAATAACGGAACTATTCATATTCCTGTCCCCCCTTATTATGAGCTTCATTCTTACTTATGAACTATTGTCATACGATTTACCATCATTGAAATATGCCCTGTCTATCATTTAATATCTCCCTTATTCACAGCCACATTTAGCTGAATCTTGTACAAATGTTATTTTCTATTTTATGGTACGATGTGGTCTGTTTGTTTGATATATAAACCCAGTATGCTTGAAATAAATGATTCATAATGCGGAGGCTGAGATTAGTGTTTTGAACTTAACTGACTGTGCTAGGTAGAAAGCAGGTCCGACAAGTACTTCAGACTGCTCGTACGGGTTTCGTGTGTTATTGTTCCGATCGATAAATCACTGCTCTCTAATTGGCGGTATTATCACATTCTACATTTACAGGGTATCCAGGCGGTCACAAGTTATAACAAGACTCATGATGAAAACTTAGTTGAGTGTCTGAATGAGAACTAATGAAATAGTTATTATCTCCATTTGACCGATTAAATATATTCATTGAATGAAGAAATTCATTGTGTCAAATGAATGAATGAATAACAAATGTTGTATGTATCTTTCCTGAAATGATCTGTGAAATTTTTAGAAAACTAATTAGATGTACTTAAACTTCATCTTCATTTCATTAACTAATATGTACATTTAGTAGTTTTAGGATCATAGTGCATACAGATTCAATTCATTAGGTTAATTGATTAATAATATGAGGTGATAATCAAATGATCGTGAAATGGCATCATTTAATTAATAACATGTGCAAATTTTCTGTGTGTAATATATTTAGTCAATTAATAATATTAATAAATGGGTTTATGGAGGTTGTTGAATTTCATGATTAACATTCCTGAGTGAATTTGTTAGACAACCGCTAAAAATGAGGAAACATTCAACAGATGTTTCTTCTTAGTATAGGGCTCCTTATGAATGAGCATCCACAACCCCACAGAGAATCAAACCTTAGATCCTTCAGATCTCGCATCGAGGACTTAACATTCAGAATATTGATTCAATTTTCAATAGTTTAAACTTTTAACTTTGATTGATAGATTTTTTTTTTGCCGCTAGTCCAAACGATTTTATATCATAAGTTACTGAACTAATCAGAGCTGAACAAACTTTCTTATGATAGGGCCACTTAAACTTAGTTGCTGTATCAGACAGTCTACACATTCAAAGTATGTAAATATTTTAAAATCAAGCTACTAACATAAATCATTCTTTAATGTAACAAGCATTACTTTTGATATAAAAAAATGTATTCCATATAAAAAATAAACCTTGATTGTTAAGATGTTTGATTCATTCAAATGGAATGCAGCATAAAAATTTATTTATTAATTAATCCATTAACTGGTATATACAATGTTCAGGAAACTCATAATAATAATTCAATTATTTTTAAATATTTCCAATTGAATTCTACCTAGATCAATGATAAATGTGTTTCTAGGTGACAAAGCTTCAATCTTTAACACTTCATTGGTAACTGAAGTTAATAAATAATTAGATCATTGATTATCTTACAACCACCTACTACTTTACAACAATTTCATAATGTTAACTTCAATAAATCAATCATTTTTAACTCTTTAATTGTATATCAAAGAAAAGAAAATGATAACTTGTCTTAAAGAAAGAATTTTAGGAATCATATTTTGTTGTTGTTGTTTACCCATGAAACTATTAAATGTCTACAAAGAAAAAACAACAATCAGTATTCAGGTGTCTTACTACTCAAATCACATTAGCTGCCATTCATTTTGTTAATCATATTCATATATAAGAATGATAATACATGTGATTATTGAATCATTTATATAAAAATCTATATTGGATATGATAGTTAATTTTTTTTATATATATTACTTTTATACAAATGACATAATTTTTCAAAGTTGAAATCATGAGTCAATTGAAGCTAGACCACCATCGACTCCTCAGCAGTGCGCATCCACGAACCCACTCTCGCGGGATTCCAACCTAGGACCTACCAGTTTCGAGCAGAAGCCCTTAAACGATAGACCACTGAGCTGGGTTCGTGGATGCGCATTGCTGAGGAGTCCCACAATAGGACGAAACCGCCACCCAGTGCTTCCAGGTTTTTGATGGTGGTCTAGCTTCAATTGACTCATGATTTTAACTATGTAAATTTAAATAAGTCCATTAGTATCTAAGTGATTCAGTAT